TCCAAGTTAATTGTTATGCAAGTTTTTGGAAGGATATTCATATTAATTAGAGATTCCTTGAATGAATATTTTCAAAAATCCGATATTTCTTGAAAAAATATTTTCAAAAATCCCATATTTCTTCAAAAAATATTTTCAAAAATCCGATATTTCTTGAAAAAATATTTTCAAAAATCCGATATTTCTTGAAAAAATATTTTCAAAAATCCGATATTTCTTGAAAAAATATTTTCAAAAATCCGACATTTCTTGAAAAAATATATTTAAAATTCCGATATTTTTTGAAAAAATATTCTTTAATAAAACCGCTCCTTGTTCTAGTCCTTGAAAAAAGAGTCTATCAAAAACCCACGCCTTGTTCTAGTCCTTGAAAAAAGAGTCTATAAAAAACCCACGCCTTGTTCTAGTCCTTGAAAAAAGATTCTTTAAGAAATCCTCGCCTTGTTCTAGTCCTTGAAAAAAGATTCTTTAAGAAATCCTCGCGTTGTTCTAGTCCTTGAAAATAGATTTTTTAAGAAATCCACGCCTTGTGTTGCTCCTTGAAAAAATATTCTTTAAAAAATTCACGCCTTGTGTTGGTCCTTGAAAAAATATTCTTTAAAAAATTCACGCCTTGTGTTGGTCCTTGAAAAAATATTCTTTAAAAAATTCACGCCTTGTGTTGGTCCTTGAAAAGATATTCTTTAAGAAATCCACGCCTTGTTCAAGTCCTTGAAAAAATATTCTTTAAGAAACCACGCCTTGTTCTAGACCTTGAAAATATATACTTTAAAAAATTCACGCCTTATATTAGTCCTTGAAAAAATATACTTTAAAAAATCCACGCCTTATGTTAGTCCTTGAAAAATTATTCTTTAAAAAATCCACGCCTTGTGTTAGTCTTTGAAAAAATATTCTTTAAAAAATCCACGCCTTGTATTAGACCTTGAAAAAATATTCTTTAAGAAATCCACGTCTTGTTCTAGTCCTTGAAAAAAATATTCTTTAAGAAGTCCACGCCTTGTTCTAGTCCTTGAAAAAATATTCTTTAAGAAATCCACGCCTTGTTCTAGTCCTTGAAAAAATATTCCTTAAGAAATCCACGCCTTGTTCTAGTCCTTGAAAAAATATTCTTTAAGAAATCCACGCCTTGTTCTAGTCCTTGAAAAAATATTCTTTAAAAATCCACGCCTTGTGTTAGTCCTTAAAAAATCCACTATTTGAGTGCTTAAAAATATTTTAAAAAAATTCACAAACATAAAAAAATAAAATTCTTCCACTGAATAAAATTCCATTGTTAAGCCTCCGAGAACTTGTTTATAATCGTTTTTCTTTTCGTTTCCTTTAAGATTTATAGCCTAGATTAGCTGTCTGATCTTTATGGGGAATTCCCCCCCCAAATAATTTGTCTGAAAAACTAGAAAAGAAAGACGAAATAAAAATAATCAAAAACGTCTAAGGGGAAACTACATGTTTTGACTACAAAACAAGACAAAAACAAAAGGCAAGGAAAAAAAGTAGCAACTTCGTTCTGGATCATAGACCAGGAGACCCACTTAAACACACATACACACGTATGTTCTGTAAATTTGAAAAAATCAAATATATAAAGCCAATGTATGAGTGTGACCTCGTTAAAGCCATACTGCGTAGCATTTAAAAGGATACGAAACTACGACAATGGCAAATTTTAGGCAATGATGCCTGCCTGTGCATGTATGTGTGTCTGCTTGTGTGTTATGCTATTATTATGCTAAACAAGAGGGTTGTTAATGTGTGACCCCCCTCCGCTTTGTCGTCACAATAGTGGAGGAATCTTTGTCGTCCTGTGTTCTACTGTTGGTGGCAGCTTGTCTGCTACCACACATAACACTTCGAGTCCACCGAGACGTTTCACATAAAATGCGTTACGCATTTTAATACAAAAACAAAAAACAATCATAAAACTGCCAGCAACAACAACAATTGTAATGAGAATAACAACAACAGTATTTAACCGACCGAGTGAATAGTCCCAGCCAATCGGAATTCAGTTGTGAAAAAAGGCGCAAAAAATCCAAATGCGTAATAACAAAAACAATGAAACAGGACACGCACAATCTTCACATCCTAGCAAGAAATAGTTTGCCATAAATTCACAGTTCATGTGTTGTTGTAATAAAACAAAAACCAAGGAGAGAGAGGAAAAACATAATAACGACAAAGCTCAACTAAAAACCCAAAAATCTGTTTCAAGTGTGTCCCCGTTCGGTTCGGTGTATTTGTGTGTGTGCATGTGTGATTAAAAGTGTCATAAATAAAGCTAATGGGTTCTGAAGTGCCATATAAGCGATTTTTATTACATTTCCCCCTCGCCACTCTCTTTTAGGAAAAATCTAAGAAAACAAAGAAGAACAAGAAAAATAATATTGACTAATCCCACAATTGTACCCCCTGCCCTCGTTAAAAAATTAATTCCAAACTTATGTGACTGCTTATCCTGAAACGCTCAATAAATTAAAAGTGTAATTCCAATTGGAGAGAAAAGCCCTCCCTCAGAAAGAAAACTAAACTCTCCAGAGAGGGCTAAGTGCTTGAAAATTCTAAAACAACAACAATATCAGCAGCAACAACAACACCATGGATAGCTCTCCAGATCTATCCTTGAAATTAAGACGTGGTTCGAGTGATTCACGTGATAATTTCTATATGGATTTTGCTCAAGGCATTGATTCCGATATCGAAGAGGTGGATAACACGGCGCTGGATCAGGCCACAGCACCTCCATTGCCGCTGGTGGGGGATGGTATGGATTATATGGTCATACCGCCACCTCCACCACCCTCAGTTATGACCATAATGCAACAACAGCAGACAATGGGTTTACCCACTGTTAGCGAACACGATGATACACCTCCAACACCACCGCCACAAATGACCAGCTTGCCCTCGCCACCAGTTTCGCCAACAACATCCGTCTTAGAAATGATGCCACCACCACCTTTGTCTCCACCACCACCAACAACCACATCTTCATCCTCCACACATTCCAATCGAGTTCTGCCACAGCCACCTTCTCCACCCTTGGAAACTGAAGATGAGGAGGATGATGATGATATCGAGGAAGAGGAGGAGGAAGAAGCTGCCGATGCCGATATTGAAACAACCGATAATGTGGAAGAAACTCCCGACGAAGAAACCGATGGCAAAGAAACCGACGACAAAGAGACCGAGGGCGAGGATGACAATGATGGTGATGATGAGGGAGACAAAGATTCACCACCTCCACCATTGCCACCCATACCCTCACACCTGGCCTATAATCGACCACAATCCAATCACGAAGATGATGACGATGAGGATGACAGCCACTTGCCCAAGCCAATGCAGGGCCAGACACCCTCAACTTCACCCTCGCCACCTGTAACACCCCCACCTTGTCCGGAACTAAGTTCCATACAAAAAATTGTTTCACCACCGCCAACACATGTTTCACAGATACCACCTTTAACCCCACCCTCGGAGAGTGATCAATCGCAGCCCAATTCTCCACCACCTATATCGAAACATTCCCCACTAACCATGCCTTCAACACCGCCACCACCACCCGAATGTGATGTGGTCGATGATGAACAACCACCCACACCACCACCGGAATTTGATCAACCAGACGAAGACGAAGGCGAAGAAGCCAAACCCAAACAAGACGAAGAAGAAGATGAGCCGGAAATCGATTTATCTGGGGTTTCCGGAGAACCCTCAATGGATTTGGTACAAGAAGTTCTACAGGAGGCGGCCCAGAAGGCCATAAATGGTGAGGAAAATAAATCTTCGCGGGATGATGATTCCACCACTATTACCACACCACCAACCAATGGCTACTCCGCCTCTTCCATGTATAATCATCAAGCTGAAGAACCCATGGATGAGGCTGACCAAGAACAACTAATGGCCAATATACCACCACCAGCTGGGCTAGAAGATCCCATAGAAGATGAAGATGGTACCAAGACACCAGTTTCCGAAACGAAACCCTTAGATTTAGATGAACTATCCTTAGATCGTGTGCCACCTCCACCACTTGAAGAGGGCGCCGAGGAGGAGGATAATGAAAAGCGAACTTCATTGCCAGGGACACCAACATCACAAGTCTCGCAATTGTCACAACCGACACCAACACCCACGGTGTCCGGATCACCAAAACGTAAAAGTAGTGTTACAAGTGCCACTGCACCCGGTGGAGGAGGTGGTGGTAGTCGTGTTCCTAGTCGTAGTGTCAGTCGCAGTGGCAGCCGTAGCGGTAGCCGCACAGCCAGTCGTAGTGGTAGCATACGTGGTGGTGGCAGTATTAGTTCAAGGGCTGGCAGCATTGCTGCAGCTTCAGTGGCATCGGCAGCCGCATCCATTGTCTCCGCATCACAATCTGTTAAGGCCGAGGTCGTTACCTCTCCACCAATTTCATTGAAATCGATACGCAGTCCACCTGGCTCAATACGCTCGCATACATCGAAGCATAGTCCTTCGCTGTCACAAAAAAGTCATCATACCATTTCGGCGGAAGCAAAGGCTAGTCCCACACAGTCTAATGGTTCAGTGGCTGCACCCGGACGTTTACAAAGTCCTCAGGAGGGTGATAGTCCACCGGTAATGCCTTCACCACCAATTATACGTAGTCCACCACAGGTGAAGAGTCCACCATCGATGCACAGTCCACCACGTGTCACCAGTCCCCCGAAAGTCTATAGTCCCCAGTTGATTAGCAGTCCACCAATGCGTCAAGATGATATTGATCCCGAGAAGGCAGAGAAGCCGTAAGTACCACACAATAATTTGTTAATTGTTTATTTATTTTTACAAACGTGGGATATAATGATAATGGATAATATATTAATAAATTAATTGGGAAACAAATATAAGGGACTATATATTATTCGGGTCCAAAGTATTCAACTAATATATTTTCCTGTTATCTACTTAAATAAGGTGAAATGAAATTCTGTAGATATTCCATTTGAAAAATACGGGATCGTATAAGTTATGGCAATACTTATACGCCACCTACCTACATTGTTTAATTACAGAACACCGGATGTCAGATATGGCCATGAAGGCAAAATTAAATTTGGACGCATGTTTCCATTTGTCCGAAAACTTATCAGTTTATTTAACAGTATCTACTTTGTTTTATCATCGTTGTTGTATTTTCCTACCACAGTTTTAAAATGTTTCAAATGTTTTAGGTATCAGGTAATCACAGGAAAATTAAAAGTTCCACTTTCTTTCTGGGTACCTGATCAATTGAAAAGTCCGTAGTAAAACACAAAACTATTTTTTTCAATTACTAGAATACATATATTTCTGTCAGTTCTTTATTATCCAACTGCATGGCCTGTAATGTGGAATTTTGGGTTTTCATCATCACAATACAGATCATATTAAATATGGGACTATATTTGAACATAGTTCCCATATCTCAGATCCAACCTTGGTCGAGTTTTCCGGTTTCTTAGAGAATAAAATACCTCCTAGAATAAACGTTTATATAAGTTCAAGGCTCGAATTAAGCCTCATTTATATCGTACCTTATATTAATATACCAAAATTTATCCGGTTCAAAAAAAAAAAAAAACATCGAACTCCTATCTTTGCTATTAAAAAGTCGAAATCAGTATTTTTCCACTTACCTATAATTTTCAAAAAAAAAAAAAAAACCTGTTTGTGGACCAGACACATCGCTATGATCAGTCCTGGAAATTTTTTGGGCTCTAAATTATTGATTTAAACCACCCATTTGAAAGATCATGTTCTGAGATGTTGTTTTCTACTTGGTCTTTCCATGGTCTTCCCCTTCTGCGTGAACCATCAGTAGGCTCGCTTTTATGTGCCTTTTGAGCTGGGGCATTCTCATTCATTCACACAACATGGCCTAGCTCGTGGTTCATTCGATGTAGATATTTCGGAGAATTTTTCTCTCTAACACCCCAAGAGCTGACTCATCTGCTTGCGCTAGTACCCATGCTTTAGATACATATCAGCATGGGTAGTATCAGCGTCTTGTAGAGTGTGAGTTTGGTCTGGCGTCTGTTGGCCAATACTATTCTACCCGAATTTTAAAACTGACGTCACAAGTTGTATTTATGGCGGTACCAATGTATATAAAATATTTAATTACCTCAAATATGTAGTTCTCAAGTTCCACAGTTGTTCCGAGTCTACTGGATGTCTTGCGCGTTGATACCATCAGCTTGGTCTTCTTGCCATTTACTGCCAGACCCACTTTGGCAGACTCCTTCTCAATTTGGTCAAAAGTGGCTGTTACCGCTCGCAATGTTCGACTCATTATATCGATTTCGTCGGCATAGGCGAGTAACATGTGATGTTTGGTGTACAGAGTGTCATTTCTGTTCACCTTTGCGTCTCGTATAACCTTTTCCTGCAGGATGTTTAAAAGATCACACGACAAACTGTCACCTTGTCTGAATCCTCGTTCGGTTTTGAAGGGATCCGATATGTCCTTTCCGACGCTAAGTGTTGAACTTATGCCACTTAAAGTTATCTTGCATAGCCATATTATTTTGCAGGAATGCCGAAAGCAGACATGGTTTTAAACACCTCTGAACGGAAAGGGCTGTCGAATGCGGTTTATAGTCGATAAATAGGTGGTATGTGTCGATGTGTTTTTCGTGAGTCTTTTCCAGGATTTGACGCAGAGTTAAAATCTGGTCTATGGTGGATTTGCCAGGTCTGAAGCCGCATTGGTATGGTTTAAAATTGTCATTGACCATTGGCTTCAGTCGTTCACACAGCACGCTGGATATCGCTTTATATGCGATGGGAAGAAGACTAATTCCTCTATAGTTGACACATACCGTCTTGTCTCCATTTTTGTGCACGGGACACAGAATGCTGAGGTTCCAATCATTGGGCATGCATTCCTCTAGCCAAATTGTATTAATGACCTGGTGCATGCTCCTTACCTACATCTGACCACCAGTCTTGAATAGTTCGGCTGGTAACCGATCGGCTCCTGCAGCTTTATTACTCTTCAGCCGATTGATTGCTATTCTGACTTCATCTTGGCTAGGTGACTCTATACCGTCATCTATTATTGGTTCTGGGGTATCCTCTTCACCGCTAGTATTTGATACCAGAAGTTTTTCAAAATACTTCTTCCAGACCTTCATCACGCTGTCTGTATCTGTCACGAGGTTTGCACCAAAGCCTTCGGTTTTACCCGTTGGTAGAATTTACGGGCTTCATTCTGACTTCTGTACATCTCGATTTGCTCACGCTTTTCTTGTTCTTTCTTCTTTTTTTTTGAAAACACGTTATCTCCTTTTCTCCCGATAGTTCTCCATCGCAATACGTGTTACTACTGTCCGCAGGGTTGCCCTATACGCTGAGTTTTTCATATCATTAGCATTACGACACTCTTGATCGTACCACGGATTTCTTGACGGTGGTCTTTGGCACCCAAGTGTTGCTTTTGCTGCAGTTTGTAGGGAGTGGGTAATTCTCTGTCATTGTGCATCTATATTTTTATGGGGACAAGGAGTGCCTTCGTCAAGCAGTTGGGTAAGTTGAGCGGAGTAGACTTCTGCTATCTGTTGTGTTTGCAGATTTTCGACGTCGAGTTTCCGTGTTACCTTAGATCGCACCTTAGCTGCTCGTTAAGACGAGTACAAACCTTGGCTGCTACAAGTTAGTGGTCCGAATCGATATTCGCTCCTCGGATCGATCGAACGTCTAAAACACTAGATGGATGCCTTCCGTCTATCACAACAGGATCGATTTGATTTCTTGTTGTTCGATCGGGAGAAATCCAAGTTGCCTTGTGTAAATCGAGATACTTGAATTTGGTGCTGCTAACTACTACTACTACTATTTTTTTGCTGCCCTGAAGTGTATCAACCTCATGATGTTGTCTGATGTTTCTTCATGGAGGCTGAATATTCCGACAGTGGGGCTAAAGATATTTTCCCTTCCGATTTTTGCATTAAAATCTCCTAGCAGAATTTTAATGTCATGGCCAGGGCAACGGTCATATGCTGTTTCTAGGCGCTCGTAAAATATGTCTTTGGTCTGTTCATCTTTATCTTCGGTTGGAGCATGGGCGCAAATGAGACTGATGTAGAAGAACTTCGCTTTTATACGGATTATAACAATTCGCTCATCTACTGGAGTGAATCTGAAGACGAGACATGAATTTTGCTTCGGATTTATCCTGTTAACCATAAATCCGCAGCAAAATGCATGTCTCGTTTCATGGCAGCTATTACGCCAGTCCCTTTCCATCGCATATCCCGTAACTTCTTGAGTACATTCGTACTTCTTGAGTACATCCGCCAAGGCGAAAACTGCGCATGTTCTGTACAACGTACGCACATTCCAAGTGCAGATTAGCAGATCGTGGTCCTTTTTCGATGCTTTTTCATAGTATTAATTTTTTTTCGAGTGTGGGCAACTGACCGACGCCTTAACCTATTTTGTTATTGTTCTTATGGGGGAACTCGCGGCAACGGGTGATGAAAATATTTGCCCCAGGTGACACTGCGGGGAGGAGAATGCCACAATTCAGATGAAAGAGGGACTAGGATAAGTCTGGGCTTCGCCATGTTAAAGCCTATCAGAGCCGTTGCTTGGTATCTATCACCGCCTACGCCGATTATAATTTGCCGCAGCGGAGGTCAGTATAATTTCGATCCTAGACCAGTTACGTTTTTATACCTTTTGTGGACCACGCCATACCTTACTATGTTCCTTCGCTTTGATTTTAATCTTTGAAAGTTATATCCAGATCGTTGACTAGACCACCGTACATATAAGAAATGCCAGCAGATATACATAACAGATGACTGCGTCAACACATCAACAAATCTGTTTTTGTAGTTGTGTATTTTTTATTTAGTTTATTTATCGTAAACCTTAGGACAAAGTAAAAAAATATTCTCCAACCTCTGTTTCGAATAGTATCATTCTTTCAAAGTAAGACAATATTCTCTTTCCTCAAAATTGAGCTTCATTACCATATAAGCCAACAATTAGCAGACTTCCACATGGTACACCATGCTCCCCACATAAAAACTTAATACCTGAACAAATATCGGTATGGGGTCCGATTTAAGCCCTGCTAATCATTTTACAAATTAAGTAATACCTTAAATAAACAATTACCAACATATCATACCTCTATTTTAAAATAAAACCTACCGACTGACTGACTGTGTGTCTATCTTTCGTTCGGTCTACCCACAAAAGTTTCATAAATCCTTTCGTGTTATTAAATTCTCTGTAATTGCTACTAATCGTGTGCGGCTGGCTGACTGACTGGCTGGCTCGATGGATGGAAGGTTGCTGTTGATATTTGAACAACCCCAAATTACACTAAACAGCAAAGGCAGCAATAACAACAACATCAGTGGAAAGACAGTCGAATGTCAAGAACGTTTAGCCATCCATTTTAATATATAAGTTAGAGATAAACTCGGTGACTTTATGTCTGTCTCGACATCAGTTGAAAATGTGCTAATGACTATTTGCATGACCATGGAGGCAGAGGAAGAGAAAGAGAGCGAACACGGAAGGCCACAAGGGGAAGATGAAATAAAATTTGATTTAAATATGTCTCGCCGCCTATAGTCGTCGACATTGACCAATGTTATTTCATTGTGGTTTATTTAATTTTGATGAGTTTTTTTTTTCTGGCCTTTCTCTTTAAATGAAAATATTAAATCAAAATCGCTTTACCGCAAATTTGTGGTAAAACAAAATAAAATTTAAACAATTTTTATTGCATACATTTAGGCTTTAT